CCCGACTAACTTAACATAACACCCACGCGGATGCAGGGCTTTTTGCTGGACCAATTTGAAACAAAAATGGATGGTGTTCCTTTTTTCTCCTGATGGAACATTGATATTGACTTTATTGTTGTTGTTATCTTGTGGTAGTGGAGTGTTGTTGTTGTTGTTTTTGTTTTGCCACTGTGGCGGTCGTATGTGGACGTTAACGGCGGCAATGTCTGGAAATGAGAATTGCCTGAAAAAAAAATCAAAATAAACAAATGCACCCAAAGTTATGGACACAAGAACAATGGGAGCAGCAGCAACAACAACGAGGAAACCCCCCTTCGATAGTTAAACGTTTAACTAAGTAAAGCCCTTCTTAGCCAAGCGAAGGAATCATAAAAAAATTATTTTAGAAAAAATTTTGGCACAGTGATACTAAATGTAAATTAGAAATCTATCAAAGCCATTGTTTTTTTAAATATATTTTTTTCAAGGTTTGCAGAGTTATAAATGTCCTGGAGTTTTTTTTAAATATTTTTTCAAGGTCTACCGGAGACATACATTTTTTTTATAAAATACCTTTTAAAATCTATCAATGGTGTGGGTTTTTTAAAAATATTTTTTGAATGTCCATATAGGACGTGGATTTTTTAAAAGTATTTATTTATTTTTATTTTATTTTTTATTTTTATTCATTTATTATTATTATTATTTTTTTTTTTTTTTTTTGAAGACTACTTTTTATTATTTATTTATTTATTTATTTATTTTTTTTGAACCACTGTCATTATCAATAATGGATCATATAGACCCGGCTAAAATTTACAAATATTCATGAATGCGTCCGAACACATGTATCCCACTCATGTGTAGTTGCAATATGGGGCTACATCACCACAGCCCTATGAACAGTTTCGAATGAGTCATGCATCAACGCCACACCACACAGAAGGAACAAAAACCTGGTTAAGGCGCTTGATACGGAATCGAAGAACTATCACAACAAAAAGCTTCAGCAACAACAACAACAACGAACATATGGAAACAAAATGATATTCATGCACCACATAAAAGGGTAAACACTCCATCTAAAACCCATACAACAATCTCATCGTAGTGTCGGGATAAAGGATAGTCAACACTAAAATCCAACAACAACAACAATCGGAGGTTGCCCATAAAACAAAAAATGTCTTGTCTTATCGCCTGCTTGAGTTACTTAAGGCCAATGAAGGATTGGCTGACTTGAAGTGTGGTCGATGGTCTCTGGTCATCTGCTGCGAAGAGAGTTCGCCACAACGACTGGCGCTGATAGACATATGGATGGACGGACGGACGGACAGTCAGACAAACATTAATGGTAGTGGCAATGATGGAAATGGTGGAACTTTGAAGTGTTTACGAATAGAATAAAGGATTTTTTTGTGAATAACGACAAACGAAACGTTCAAAAATGCAAAAACGTCTAAATGGGTTGGAACCGTCTTTGTGGTGTTGTTGTTTCTTCTTTTTTATATTCTTCGGTGTTTAATTGTCTCGTGTGATGGGCTCATGTGCCAGCTAGATGATAGCTACTACAACAATGTTTAAAGGAAGTATAGAATTTGGTGGGAGAGTTTAAGAAGGGAGGTTAATTAATCTCAAAAAAATAAAATATTTTTGAGGATCCACCAAAGGCGTGGATTTTTAAAAAAATATTTTTTTAAGCAACCACCAAAGGCGTGGATTTTTAAAAAATATTTTTTTAGACAACCACCAAAGGCGTGGATTTTTAAAAAATATTTTTTTAGACAACCACCAAAGGCGTGGATTTTTAAAAAACATTTTTTTAGACAACCACCAAAGGCGTGGATTTTTAAAAAATATTTTTTTAGACAACCACCAAAGGCGTGGATTTTTAAAAAATATTTTTTTAGACAACCACCAAAGGCGTGGATTTTTAAAAAATATTTTTTTAGACAACCACCAAAGGCGTGGATTTTTAAAAAATATTTTTTTAGACAACCACCAAAGGCGTGGATTTTTAAAAAAATATTTTTTTAGACAACCACCAAAGGCGTGGATTTTTAAAAAATATACTTTTTTAGACAACCAACAAAGGCGTGGATTTTTAAAAAATATTTTTTTAGACAACCAACAAAGGCGTGGATTTTTTTAAAAAATATGTTTTAGACAACCACCAAAGGCGTAGATTTTTTAAAAATATTTTTTTAGACAACCACCAAAGGCGTGGATTTTTAAAAAATATTTTTTTAGACAACCACCAAAGGCGTGGATTTTTAAAAAATATTTTTTTAGACAACCACCAAAGGCGTGGATTTTATAAAAATATTTTTTTAGACAACCACCAAAGGCGTGGATTTTTAAAAAAATATTTTTTAAGGATTGCATTTTTTTAATATTTATACTCTTTACTTCACTGTGGTACAGGGTATTATGTATTTGTGCATATGTTTGTAACAGCAAAAGGAATCGAGATAGACCCTTGGTTCCTTGGTTTCGTCTGTCCACCTGTTGATGTTAAATTGTAAACAAAGTACAGGTCGCATTTATGATCCGATTTGGATGAAATTTTGGCACAGCTCATTTGTTCGATCCAAGGACAAACCCTATTGAAATTGGGAAAAATCGGTTCAGATTTAGATATAGCTCCCATATATATTTTCGTCCGATTTAAGGTAAATGGTGAACCAAAGTCCCTAAATACCTTTCGATTTGCACGAAATTTGGCACAGCGTACTGAATTGAGCCTAGAATGATGTGTGTTAAGTTTCGTGAAAATCGTTTCAGATTTAGATATAGCTTCCATATATATTTTCGTCCGATTTAAGGTAAATGGTGAACCAAAGTCCCTAAATACCTTTCGATTTTCACGAAATTTGGCACAGCGTACTGAATTGAGCCTAGAGTGATGTGTGTTAAGTTTTGTGAAAATCGGCTCAGATTTCGATATAGCTCCCATATATATTTTCGTCCGATTTAAGGTAAATGGTGAACCAAAGTCCCTGAATACCTTTCCATTTGCACGAAATTTGGCATAGCGTACTGAATTGAGTCTAGAATGAAGTGTGCTAAGTTTCGTGAAAATCGGTTCAGATTTAGATATAGCTTCCATATATATTTACGTGAGATTTAAGGTAAATGGTGCACCTAAAACCCTGAATTTGGCATTTCGAACTGAATTGAGTCTAGAATGATGTGTGCTAAGTTTTGTGAAGATCTGTTCAGGTTTAAATAAAGCTCCCATAAGTATTTTGGTCCGATTTTACTTAAATGGTGCACCAAACACCTAATGTCTGTCCGACGTTATTAGGTTTTATTGAAATTCATGCAGATGCAGTCATAGCTTCCATATGTATTTCGAAAGGTGTGTATAATTTAGATTAAATTTGCGGCGTACCGAATAACGTGTATCAGTTTTGCTATAAATCGTTTCCATAAATTTTTTCCATGGTACGCAGACAACTCTAAATCTGCCCGAATGAATTTTAATTTATCATATGTTCCTTCGAGGGAACATTGTCATACAATTGTAAGGATACATATGAACAATATACGCAAAGTGGTGATCATATAGTCGGCCCACACTTATCATACCTCCTATCCCTTAGTGGAAAAGGATCATTTTTATGTAAACACACAACCGTCGTGTATCCGAACAAATAGTAAATACAAAAAACCCAAACACTATCATTGTCGGTCTGTGGTATGTGCCCCCTGTTAAGGTACACTCAGTCATCGTAAATGATGAAGTTCAAGTCAACATTCCAGCATGCATTTATCCAGCCATCCATCCAACTATTCCGTCCATACCTACGTGCAACATTTTCGTCATTCATTTTGTAGATACATATTTAGTTTTTTTTTTATTGGCTTTGTTGTAATTGTTCTGTTGGTAGTGGCTATCGTTGTGGTGCTGTCTCTTAAATTGTTGATAGAGCCTGTCTTCTGTAAAAGGTACGATGATGTAAACAAACAAAAAGGTAACTATCGTAGGATTTATCAACTGCCAGACATAGCTAAAATTATTGGTTCATTCATGGGTTCATCTAGTCAGTCAGTCCGTCCGTCTGTCTGTTTTTTTTTCTACACCCTTCGCGTGCCAATACTGCCGTCATCAAGACAAAATTGTAACTGAAGCTGAAATTAAAGACCAAGGTAAATAAGACAAGCGCACTTACATCACTCACTCACTCCAAGTCGCATTCAGATCCACAGCAGTCAGTCATTGAGTCAATAAGTCATTTAGGCATTCAGTCATGACCATGTTTAGTTGTGGCTTAAAAGATAACATTTTTTTGTTTTGTTTTGTTCGTTAAACATGGTCAACGTAAAAATTAACAAAATGCGACAGAAACCGACAGCAACAGCAACAACAACAAAGATGATGACAACAACAGCATGACCAAGAACTACAACTGCGACAAATGTGCAGAGGACAACTTTTTCCGTACCATGATATCGGTATAAACAAAAAGGAACAAAAAACATGATGGGCAAACAAGAGGAGTACATGAAGGTAATTAAATTTTAAAAATAAATTATCTTCGAGAAGGAGGAAGAAGAAATGGGAGGAAAATAGCAGCCGTTTTATTTTGATATTGAGTCACCACAGACAAAGGTTAAGTTTATTTAAAGGTGCTATTCATTTTGGACTCTTTTCAAGGGTTGACAAAAGTGTACTAGAAAGAAAATATCCTGATTCTCACTTTGGACAGGGATTTGACCAATTTATTTGATTTAAATTTAATTTGACCAAGTTTTCGGTTGGCAGAGGAAAGAATTTATACATGAATTCAAAAAATAGGTCTAATATTTGCTATTGGTTTGAATACATACAATACGTCCTTTATCATCTCAAAGTAGCAAAATTTGTATTTACTTAATTTTATTTTTAAATTAAATACTTAAAATCTACAATACACATACTAGTAGAGATACATACATACAATATTATATATATAGTACAAACAGTCCTTTAGATTCTCTCTTTCTTACATTTTCCTGGAAACGTAGTCATAATCATCATCATGCACGATTCCAATCGTCACGTGGTAAACGATATGTTTCATTATTACTACGTATAATATTGACACCGGCACCATAGTATGGTATTATATAATGTGATCCATCTGCTGGTCTTACGATTTGTAATGCAATTAATATTATATCCACTAATTGGCCAATAAAGAAACCGCCAAGTGTACATGCCTTCAGCAGACCCATACCATAATAGCCTAAATAGAAACGATCCAAACCGAACATACCGGTAAAGACAGATAGTAGCAATACTGTGTCCAGGTGATAACCATTTCTGAAAAATGAAGGGATATTTTTAAATGTTACAAAAGGAATAGAACTGTAATAGGATAATAAAAAACAATAAAATAAATAAAACTGATAGTTACTTGAAATTATAGTGTCAACCCCACGTGGAACTATACTATAGCATATGACCTTTATACTGTCGATTTCATTGCAAAAAAAAAAGAATTGTATGCGTTCGTTTTTGACCAATATTGATTACATTGTGTGGAATTACTGAACACATGGAGTTATCATTATAGAGGTGCTATGCCTAATTGAGGACCGACATAGCTCAATTTCGAACTTAATATTTTTGATTTACAATACCTTCCTTCACGCTAAGTATTAAAAATACTGAAAATCGGTAGGTGTCATTATATGGGGACTGGGCCCAAATGCTGGTCTATATATCGAGCCATATTCGCCAAAAAAAACGTAAACCTCAAATTTGAAATTTTACAGTAGAAGGTAACTTTTAAATAAATTCAGAATTATTAAAGCTATTATATTGAAATTTAGAGCTATAGTTTTGTTATAAACTAGTTTTGTTTTAAACTATAGTTTGAGGGTTACGTTTTTTTTTTTGGCGAATATATATATTCGAAATTCGAAACACATCTAGTAGCAATATTTTCCCGAAAAAAGAAGTAAAAACTAGAACAGACTGAGTGACTGATGGCCTTGTATGTCGCTATTACGGTTTCTTTTTCTTTTCATCCGGAGGTTCTTGTCAGGGCTTTCAGAACTTTGTCTTTGGTTTGAATTTTGCCTTTAATATACGCTTCATGTTTGGTGAAATTCAGTAACCAAACACAACACACGGAATCTTGGGGTGTTGGAAGTCGGAATACTTCGGCCGTAGACTTTAAAATCTAATTTTATTCTCTACTCAAGGGTCCAAGAGATCGAAATGGTAGTAGTTGATTTCGACGTCGATATTATTAATTTTCTTTCCTGCATAAAGGTTGAGATGGGAGTTAAGTAGATGTTTTATCTGGAACTGATATCATAGATGTCTAGTCCCGAGGACATAACCCCTACCTTGAGAAACTGAAAAACGTTTCTCAAGGTAGGGGTTAAAAAAGGAATTGTGAATACACTCCTCCTGTTGTACCCTCTTTTTTACTTTAAGAAATGTTGAATTTATTAAAAGAAACCTTCTACTGTAAAATTTCAAATTTGAGGGTTACGTTTTTTTGGCGAATATGGCTCGATATTTCATTCTCCAACCTGACGTTCTAGTTTTTATACCCTTCACCACACTGTGGTACAGGGTATTATGTCTTTGTGCATATGTTTGTAACAGGCAAAAGGAAACGAGATAGGCACATGGTTCCTTTTGAGAATATGCATAGAATCACTTTCTGAGTCGATTTACGCATGTCCGTCTGTCCGTCCGTCCGTCCGTCTGTCCGTCCATGTATTTTTGTGAACAAAGTACAGGTCGCATTTTTGATCCGATTTGGACGAAATTTGGCATAGGTCACTTATTTGGCCCAAGGACGAACCCTATTGAAATTGGGAAAAATCGGTTCAGATTTAGATATAGCTCCCATATATATTTTCACCCGATATAGGCACCAAAGTACCTATATATCATTCGATTTGCACGAAATTTGGCATAGCGTACTGAATGAGGTCCAAAATGATGTGTGCTGAGTTTCGTGAAAATCGGGTCAGATTTAGATATAGCTCCCATATATATTTTCGCCCGATATAGGCACCAAAGTACCTATATATCATTCGATTTGCACGAAATTTGGCATAGTGTACTGAATTAGGTCCATAATGGTGTGTGCTGAGTTTCGTGAAAATCGGTTCAGATTTAGATATAGCTCCCATATACAGTGGTGATCACAGAATTAAAACATTTATTATGGTAAACATTTTTGATCAGCCCTCGATTCGTTTGAAGTATTTTTGAAAATTTTTTAATTCAGAACACTTCGATATACTGCACTTAAGAGATTTAGTGCGAAAATAGAAAATTATTGCATGCAATTTTCCATAAATAACGGTTTTTATGAAAATACATCGATTGTGAAGTGGCCATATAATTAAAACATTGTGTGATTTTTTACTTTACTGCATTTTTTTGAAAATTTTTTTTAAAGAGCTCTTTAGTTTAGTTAAATTATGTAAACTAAGCACTGATAGAATCATTTACAGATAAAAATATCTGAAAAAATCTGTAAAATCTATCAAAATTGCCAAAAATTTGTACAGTACACGTAACATTCAGAAAACACCCTTATTATAGAAAATAAAGGTCCGAATGCACTAGAAATTGTTGGAATTAGTAAAAAACAATTAATAATTCTCAAAATGAATAAATATTTGAAATAAAAACTCAAAAAATGTGAATTAACCTAAAGGAACGATCCAATTTCAATAGTCTTTACTAAAGAAGGCCGGAATATTTTTGCAGTATGTGAGAAAATATCGATTGATATTGGTATTTATTATATCAAATCGATTGTTCGAGTAGTATAGAATATATTTTATCAAAAAATATATCAGTCACAACAGAACGAACAGAGATCAAGGCCTATGTTGCCGAGTAAAGGTCTCTGGCACACAGCAGCATTTTTGATGTTCAACACAAGTCTTCAAATATTTGTCAAACTGTAAAATTTTTCCTTCCTTGTTACTAAAATAGATTAAGTGGAAGTTATTCTCTTCATAAAATATTATTTTGGAAAAATATTGTCATGTTCAATAGATTTTAAGGGTCAAGAGTTGACCATCAATCATGCTGCTGTGTACCAGAAACCTTTACTCGTCAACATAGGCCTTGAACTCTATTCGTTCTGTTGTGACTGATATATTTTTTGATAAAATATATTCTCTACTACTCGAACAATCGATTTGATATAATAAATACCAATATCAATCGATATTTTGTCTTGATTTAGATTAGGCGAGTTTACTTGCGGCAAGTCTTTGTTTGTAGGAGAGAGGGGCAAGGGGAATAGAAATGAAAAAAAATTGCTCGTACCGACAATTTTCTGGCAATTCGTTTTGTGTATTTCGTATTTGTTGACATTTTATATAGATTTAAATGTGAAAAACAACAAATAGAAAAATATTTTGGAAACCGAATTGCCTTGTATAAACGCATGAAGCAAGTTCAAAAGAGAACGATAAGAATTGCCGCAAGTAAACTCGTCTAATCTAAATCAAGACTTTCTTACATACTGCAAAAATATTCCGGCCTTCTTTAGTAAAGGCTATTGAAATTGAATCGTTCCTTTAGGTTAATTCCCATTTTTTGAGTTTTTATTTCAAATATTTATTCATTTTGAGAATTATTAATTGTTTTTTACTAATTCCAACTATTTCTAGTGCATTCGGACATTTATTTTCTATAATAAGGGTGTTTTCTGAATGTTACGTGTACTGTACAAATTTTTGGCAATTTTGATAGATTTTACAGATTTTTTCAGATATTTTTATCTGTAAATGATTCTATCAGTGCTTAGGTTACAAAATTTAACTAAATTAAAGAGCTCTTTAATTTTTTTTTTTCAAAAAAATGCAGTAAAGTAAAAAATCACACAATGTTTTAATTATATGACCACTTCAAAATCGATGTATTTTCATAAAAACCGTTATTTATGGGAAATTTCATGCAATAATTTTCTATTTTCGCACTAAATCTCTAAAGTGCAGTATATCGAAGTGTTCTGAATTAAAAAAAAATTCAAAAATACTTCAAACGAATCGAGGGCTGATCAAAAAATGTTTACCACAGTAAATGTTTTAATTCTGTGACCACCACTGTATATTTTCGTCCGATTTAAGGTAAACGTGGCACCAAAGTACCTATATATCTTTCGATTTCCACGAAATTTGGCATAGCGTACTGAATTAGGTATAGAATGATGTGTGTTAAGTTTCCTGAAAATCGGTTCAGATTTAGATATAGCTCCCATATATATTTTCGTCCGATTTAATTTAAATGGTGCACCAAAGTCCCTATATATCTTTCGATTTGCACGAAAGTTGGCACATCGTAATCAATTAGGAATATAATGGTGTGTGTTAAGTTTCCTGAAAATCGGTCCAGATTTAGATATAGCTCCCATATATATTTTCATCCGATTTAATCTGAATGGTGCACCAATGTCCCTATATATCTTTCGATTTGCACCAAAGTTGGCACAGCGTAATGAATTAGTTATAGAATGGTGTGTGTCAAGTTTCCTGAAAATCGGTTCAGATTTAGATATAGCTCCTATATATATTTTCGTCCGATTTAATGTAAATGGTCTACCAAAGTCCCTATATATCTTTCGATTTGCACGAAATTTGGCACTGCGTTATGGATGAGGTCTGGAATGATGTGTGTTAAGTTTCCTGAAATCGTTGAAATCGGTTCAGATTTAGATATAGCTTCTATTTCATCTGTTGAATATGCTCAAAGTGGTGAAGGGTATCATATAGTCGGCCCCGTCCGACTTTACTACTTTCCTTACTGGTTTTTTTTTTTTCAATATACTTCAAAGGTATTAAAAATACCGAAAATCGCACCAAATGCTGGTCTATATATTTCATTCTCCAACCTGGCGTTCTAGTTTTTTTCTCAATATCCTCCGAAGGTAGAATGATTACAACAGATATCTAAAATGGAGAAATCGTTTTAGATTTTCATACCTGTAGGACATAAACTAACCAGTACAGAATATTCCCCCATACTATGGTGGAAGAAGACAACCTCAAAACGAGGAACAAAGCAGTTTATTATTTTAACATAAACAAGTGAAAAAGCGTTGAGTTCGGATAGTTACAAACGGAAAAACAAAAATAATATACGCTCCATACTATGGTGGAGGGTATAAAAGGTGGTCATACATATCAAATACTACTACAAAATATCAAATTACAGCGAAATCGGTAGAAAAACGGGTAAAAATACTGAAATTTTGGGGGTATCGTTATATGGGGCCTACCGCAAAAAGTGGATCTATATTCATTATTTTCAGTGGAGAGATTTAGTACACAATAAGATCCGAATGTTCCAAATACTGATAATTGGGGGTACACTTATATGGGGGCTATGCCTAAAAGTGGACCGATATATCCCATCTCCGAACTTCACCTGCCTGCAGACAAAAGACAACCCTATGTAAACTTTAAATACCCTATCTCAATTCCTTCAGAATATAGCGTTTATTAAAAAGTCTGCGTCAATTTGACCCGCTAAATATATTCATCAAAACAGTCATAATTATTCTATGGTCAGACCCCTTTCTAAGTCTAAAATATCGTTATGTTCGTGGCATAATTATGGTCTCTAGAGCGACCAGAGACACAGACAAGTTGTTGGTCAATTTCATCGTCTAGATTTTACCGTTCAAAAACAATAGTGGTCTTCTTTGGCCAGAAGCCGTACTAAACTTAAAATTTGGCGCTGATAGTTCCATAACCGTGGCCCTATCTTCTCATGTAGGTGATTCACACTCGACATCAAAACACATCCACTAAGGGACTACTTTTCGCAACTAGTAGCAATATTTTCCCGAAAAAGGAAGTCAAAACTGGAACAGACTGAGTGGCTGATGGCCTTGTATGTCGCTATTACGGTTTCTTTGTCTTTTCATTCGGAGGTTCTTGTCAGGGCTTTCAGAACTTTGTCTTTGGTTTGAATTTTGCCTTTAATGTACGCTTCATGTTTGGTGAAATTCAGTAACCAAACACAACACACAGAATCTTGGGGTGTTGGAAGTCGGTATAATCTAATTTTAATCTCTACTGAAGGGTCCAAGAGATCGAAATGGTAGTAGTTGATTTCGACGTCGATATAATTAATTTTCTTTCCTGCATAAAGGTTGAGATGGGAGTTAAGTAGATGTTTTATCTGGAACTGATATCATCGATGTCTAGTCCCGAGGACATAATTGTACCATCGTCTGCATTTGATACAATATTAACGCATTGTGGTGCTGAAGAATGTTTCTCAAGGTAGGGGTTAAAAAATGAATTGTGAGTACACTCCTCCTATTGTACCCTCCTTTTTACTTTAAGAAATTTTGACTTCTTGTCCTGGTATTCCAGGCCTTCAACTACCTATATTTTTATTGCTGATTTTCTGTACTTTCTTGTAGCTATGTGCTAGTAGGTTAGGACCTTGAACATGCCGAAAAATATGTGAGAAAAATATGTGTAATAGTGAGATTTGGCAGACAATGCAAATACAAAATGACAACAAATTCGGTTGAAAAACTTGTCCAAAATTCTCAAAATACCGACTTGGGTGAATAATAAAAATTTTTAGTGCTGCATCACCACAATGCCGTTATGAAAACGCAAAGTACAAAATTGCAACATATTTGATAGGCTAGCCTGAAACTGAGGTCCCTAATAATAATTCCTGACTTCCTTTTATTAACACTCTTCTGAATTACAACGTTTATAAAAAAGGCTCAATAAATTAAACCTTAAACCTTATTCAATAAGAACCAAACATACCAAATTACATCAATGCAGTTGGAAAACGTGTCCAAAATCATAATCAAACCAGTAAGGAAAGTTGTAAAGTCGGACGGGGCCGACTATATGATACCATTCACCACTATGGGTACATTAAACAGGACTATTAACAAGAAATTGGATGAAATAAAATATTTGATATTTATCTAAATGTGAATCTAGCTAGATCTATCCATAAACATCGGACGAAAATATATATGTGGGAGCTTTATCTAAATCTTGACCGATTTCCACGAAACTTGGCAGACATCACTCTAGGCTCAATTCAGTACGTTGTGCCAAATTTCGTGCAAATCGAAAGATATATAGGGACTTAGATGCACCATTTACATGAAATCGGACGAAACTATATATGGGAGCTATATCAAAATCTGGACCGACTTTCACGAAACTTGGCAGACATCAGTCTAGGCTCGATTTAGTACGTTATTCAAATTTCGTGCAAATCGAAAGATATATAGGAACTTTGGTGCACCATTTACATGAAATCGGACGAAACTACATATATGAGAGCTATATCTAAATCTGAACAGATTTTCACGAAACTTGGCAGACATCACTCAAGGCTCGATTTAGTACGTTATGTCAAATTTCGTACAAATCGAAAGATATATAGGGACTTTGGGGCACCATTTACATGAAATCGGACGAAACTATATATGGGAGCTATATCTAAATCTGGACCGATTTTCTTGAAACTTGGCAGACATCATTCTAGACCTAAATGATTAGGTTATACCAAATTTCTTGCAAATCGAAAGATATATAGGGACCGTTTACATTAAATCGGTTAAATATATATATATGGGAGCTATATCTAAATCTGAACCGATTTTTCCCAATTTCAATAGGGTTCGTCCTTGGGCCGAAAAAGTGACCTATGCCAAATTTCATCCAATTCGGATCATAAATGCGACCTGTACTTTGTTTACAATTTAACATGGACAGACAGACGGACGGACATGCATAAATCGACTTAGAAAGTGATTCTATGCATATTCTCAAAAGGAACCATGTGTCTATCTCGTTTCCTTTTGCCTGTTACAAACATATGCACAAAGACATAATACCCTGTACCACAGTGTGGTGAAGGGTATAAAAATACCGAATATTGAGGGATACTGTTATATTGGGCTACCCTGAAAAATATTTATAATTTTTGGTACGGAGATAGGCTATACCATTAGAACCCAAAATGAAAAAAAAAAAATACAGCCAAATAGGTTGGAAAACCTGTACAAAGTCCCCAAAATACTAAATATTGGGGGTACGGTTATATGGGGACTACACCAAAACTTACACCGATTTGCAGTACCAAACATCCTACGAGTACTAGCAATATCTGTGCAAAATTTCAGAACTCTATCTTACAGATTTTCATCTCTATCGTGATTTCAACATACGGACGGACATGCCTAAATCGACATAGAATTTTATTCTAATTATGAAAATGGTGTTACAAACGGAATGATACATTCAATACCGTCCACCTTGTGGTGCAAGGTATAACAAGAACAACCTCTTATTTCCAACACCCATTTTATATGTTCCCAGCACTTGGAGCTACTTACGTCCATTTACAGGGCATCTCCTTGGTAAATGTATTATTATTTGTTCCAATACATTCTATGCCATCTGCGGCTATACACCAAACTGAAAATATTATAGATCATTAATTAACAACAATGAAACCCCCTTTATTAGACATTACATACATACCTTTGGCCAAACCATTTCGTTCACATCCATAGTACTGCTGAGTCTTCGGATCAATTTGATTTCTACCGGGTTCCGGACATAAATATTGACCCATAAGCAGGGTGGTACAGTCATAGGCCACTCCTTGGACCAATGTTATTAATAAAAACACCAAGAATAATAATTTTAACATTTTTTTGTTTATAAAATGTTTCTGACGTTCTGGAACTTGGGTGAATAAATGACCGACCTAATCTAAAAACGTTTGGAACGCTACGAATGGAGTAGACAAGAGAGAATGGTTGGCGCTCGTAATGTTTAGAAATAAGGCATAAAAGAAAGTACAAAAATGGTAATCTCTGTTCAACAGCTGATTTAATTAGAATTGCCAACCTAATTTTATTCCTACAGTTTATTTCTTTGTTATGCTACTTTTTTTACAACACAGAACAAAAACAAAAAAGAAAAAGAAAATAAACAATAGAAAAACCTATTGGTGGACGAAGTGATAAATTAAACAATAATTTACCAACGGAAACAAGCAAAACGGTTCTTGATTAATGCAAAATCAATTCAGCAGATAAGCCAATAGAAAATTAAACGACAAATTCTTATCAAACTTGCGTGACAAGTATGCTGAAGATCGATATACCCCTAGCAGACGAAGTGAAGAAATAATTTTTTAGACTATGGACCTGCCAAATTGAGAGAGATTTGGTCAACATCAAATAATAGGTAAGTAAATGCAGATAAAATAGATAAATCGACAGAATTTACGTTTTCAAATATTTTCAGATACAATTAAGGATAACAAAATGCTTTTAAAAATACGACATGCCCTGCTGGAAGTGGCTAATCATCCGAATGCCAAACAATCTGCCGTGATCATAAATAATGAACTTATAATAACCTCGGGATGCATACTACAGCCCTATGTGCGTCCCATATTACCATTTGTCGCGGATCACAGCAACGAAAATGTTTGTGCCAGCACAAAAATCATACACAAATTACAGCAATGCCGTTTGGTTAATGCCCAAGACGTGGACACAGATGAGGCACAACATTTGAATGCCCTCAACTACCAGGTAACCTTTGATCGTCGTAAACTACCAGCGGCTGTAACAGATTCCAAACACAATTCCAATGTTCCACACATTCTCACCCGATATCGAGCAAAGCTTTTATATATATTTAGCTCGAAAGAGATATCCAGAAATCTACATAAAATGTTAAGTTCTATGAGTTTCCAGGATTCGCAAACAAAAGATCACAATGAAGTGCTACTAACAAGTTTCCTAGTTTTAACAATGCGTCCAACGAGTGTTACGACCACAGCACCGGAAAAATTTGAAAGATTTCTCGAACACATAGCCCATTATTTAAGATATATACATCCGATACGACCATTGGATGATGTCCTAACAATGTGTACCCCATTTGGTTTGGAAAATTTCTATAAAACCATAAGTATTGGAAAAGTGTCGAATGTTATTGGAAAGAGCGGTTCCTTGTTTGTGCTGTCCAATAATTTGCCGCTAGGATGTGAAGGTTCGGCTGTTTTTAATAATAAATTGTAAGTATAGAAATGGAAGAGAAAATACAATATGGAAAGAAATATCATTCAAGGTCAACTCTCTGAAAAATTTAAATTATACCTGTTATATCAAGATTAAGGATCGGACGCGTATTGTTTTGAAATATTTACTAAAAATAGTTTTAGAGGTCCTGACTATTGGAACAAACGAGGATAAATTCCAATTAAAAAATGTTTTGAAAATTTTAGTAAAACAAGCACTAGAGACTTTTATTCCAACAATACCAGAGGGTGGTGAAGGGTATAATAATGTATAAAAATTATTATACCCTTCACCACTCTGTGGTACAGGGTATTATGCCTTTGTGCATATGTTTGTAACAGGCAAAAGAAATCGAGATAGACCCATGGTTCCTTTTGAGAATATGCATAGAATCACTTTCTTAGTCGATTTCTGCATTTCCGTCTATCTGTCCGTCCGTTCGTTAATGTATTTTTGTGAGCAAAATACAGGTCACATTTTTTATCCGATTTGATAAAATGTGGCACAGGTCACTTGTTTGGCCCAAGGACAAAACCTATTGAAATTGGAGCAAATCGGTTTAGATTTAGATATAACTCCCATATATAGTTCTGTCCGCATAAAACTGTTAAGTTTTGTCCGATTGAGACAAAATTTAGCACAGCGTACTGACTTAGGTCCAGGTTGATGTCTGCAAAGTTTTGTTGAAATTGGTTCAGATTTTTTAACTTCGTCCGATTTTATGTAAGTGGTGCACCAAGCTGCCAAGTTTTGTCGGATTGATACAAAAGTTTGCACGGCGTATTTAATTAAGGTAAGATTGATTTATGCGAAGTTTTGTTGAAATCGGTTCAGATTTAGATATAGCTCCCATATATAGTTCCGATTTTATGTAAATGGTGCAATAAACTGCTAAGTCTTGTCCGATGGAGAGAAATTTTTGCAGTTTTGTTGAAATCGGTTCTGATTGTATGGATGGATATTCAAAATTTCAATGGGGCAAATTATTTCCCCTTCTTTTTAAAATTAACTATGCTAGAAAATGGACTTACAAACTTCTTTGAAGGTATTTCATATATTTTTTTTTTTTTTTGGACCAAATCCGACAATTTGAAGTCGATTTACAAATGTCCGCACGATAACTCTCGAAAGAAAGTAACTGATTTCATCCAAACTTTAAGTATCGTAATATTTCTTCCAAAGTTAGTTCAAGTTCGAAGATAAGGAATATTAGTCTACTCCTTCTGGTACTTCTCTCAAAATGTGGTCAAAATTTTGCTGAAAATTAATTTGAACCAAATTTTGCACAACCTTCAATCTTTACCACGCCTAGACCAAGTCCGAAGATGGAACCCATTGGTCCACTCCTTCTGGTACCTCCCCCAACAAAGCGTCAATATTTCAATATTTATAAATTCAATTTGAGACAAACTTTGCACAATCTATTATCTTTACCAATCCCTGATCAAGTCCGAAGATCGGGTCAATTGGTCCACTACTTCTGGTACCTCCTCCACGAATGACCAAAATTTTCAATAACAATAAATCAAATATCAGGCGAAAATAATAGCCGATTTAAAGCTAACTTTTCACAACCTATTATCTTTACCAAGCCTAGATCAGATTTAAAGATGGGACCCATTGGTCCACAAAATTTTTAATATTTGTAAATTCAATATTTGGCGTATGAAATATTCGCTTTGAACCAAACTTTGCACAACATATTGTCTTTACCTAGCCTAGATTCAATCTGAAGGTTAGACCCATTGATCCCCTAATTCTGGCACCTTTCACACTAATTTTATAAGCTTGTAAATTAAACTTGACTTTGCATCCACAGAAAAATTCTAAATTTGGCTATGAGCAGTAAATTGATTTATATTCCGTTCATCATTTTGGAACAGAATGTTTTGGGAAGTAGACATTTTCGACATCCCTCCAAAAAATAATGAGGTCTTCAGAATAAAAAGTCTTGGTAAATTTCTTCGAAATTGGCTTAGATTTGACCTCAAAGAAATCATTAAACCAAATTCTCTTTTTGTGTGCCTTTTCCTTTATTTGCAGACGTTTAATTGGTCTCATCATCAGTACGGCATTCCAGCGCAACAATGAAAATCTACAAATGACAATCGCTGCAAATTTTGCATTTTTATTGCGTGATTTTATGAATCAATTGGGTATAAAAATTACCACAATTACCATACCCCGAGAACCATCTAATTTTGCCTGTAAGTCCATATCATATTTTATGTTATCATAGTGGCTGCAATCTAGTTGCATTATTAATATTTGTTTCGTTTTTGTTTTATCTTATTGCAGGGGAACGTAGCTTGGTGGTAATCGAAGCTAATGGCAATCAGGGCACTGGAACGTTTGTTAAAGTGCAAAATAAAAAATTCATAATTACTTGTTCGCATGTTGTTTTTCAGGTAATAAACTAAGCTATGTATGAGTGTGTTTGTTTAGATATCATATAAATTATTTAAATATATATCTTAATGTCGGTGCGTAGTTTCTTCCACTGGTCATCGCCCTTACAGGCAAAACTCACATAAATAACAATAAAATTTAATCCTTTACCATTTTTCCAGGTCAACTCTACCGTATATTGTCGCGGTGTTGATGGTGAATTTGAATCCGATGTGTTGTGGCGTAATCCCAATTATGATACCGCCTTTGATGTTGCCCTCTTGTCGACACCCTCACACATTCCCTCCCGCTATTGTGTACGTTTGGCACAAACAAAACCCTGTTTGGGACAAACTGTTTACAATGCCGGATTTCCCTACTTTGTTAATTTCAATTTAAAATATGATTTCAATCCGTCAATATTTCAAGGACGTATTATAAAATATACGCCAGCGGCTATAATGTCCGATGGTTGTGTTCAAGCTGGACAAAGTGGTGGTCCTATGTTCGATGAACATGGCAATATAATGGGCGTTTGTGTGTCGAATATTAAAATGGATAATGTCGTTTATCCGAATATCAATAATGCAATACCGATTGTGACAATACGTTCCATATTGGAGGATTATGCGAAAACAAATGGTAGGAGTGTGTGTTTGTTTTATTTGGAGTTGTAATGAAATATATTGGTTTTTATTTGTCTTTTTTAGATATCCATATTTTAAATAATCTGGTGGCAAATCCTGATATACAAAGAGTGTGGGCTTTGAAGCCACCACCTATTATAAGTAAACTGTAATTGGCGTGTGATTTTTTATATAATTGGCGATTGCCGTTCGCCTATTTGCTTTTATAAAATATAAAGCTTGTTATTATAAAACATATTATATTTTTACATATATTTTATACATATTTTTACACCACAAAACTAAAAAATATATACATATGTAACTAAATAAATGTTAAAAAAATTCATTGATGTCAAAATTTCTATTTAAAGTCTCAAAGAAAATTATCGAATTTCCCACAAAATCAGACACCAGCGGGTGTTTGATGTTCTTCTGGGGGAGATACCAGAAGAAGTGGACCTATGGATATCATCTGCGGACTTGCTCTAGACTTTATAAAGATAATAGGTTGTGCAAAGTTTGGTTCAAATCGGACATTCCATTCGTCTAATATTAAAAGTTTTGACCCTTGGTGGAGGAGGTACCAGAAGGAGTGGACC